CCGCCCAGGAAACGCCCCTCCTCCGGGTGTAATCTCTTTGCTCTCTCCTCCTGCAGGCCGTCCCCACGTTTGATGAGGTCGCCGTTTATTTCTCTCGCAATGAATGGACGAGTCTAAGCTCCACCCAGCGGGAGCTCTACAGGAGCGTCATGAGGGACACCTACCAATGTCTACTGTCCACAGGTAGGGAGCTCCGCCCACAGACACACCTACCAATGTCTACTGTCCACAGGTAGGGAGCTCCGCCCACAGACACGCCTACCAATGTCTACTGTCCACAGGTAGGGAGCTCCGCCCACAGACACACCTACCAATGTCTACTGTCCACAGGTAGGGAGCTCCGCCCACAGACACACCTACCAATGTCTACTGTCCACAGGTAGGGAGCTCCGCCCACAGACACACCTACCAATGTCTACTGTCCACAGGTAGGGAGCTCCGCCCACAGACACACCTACCAATGTCTACTGTCCACAGGTAGGGAGCTCCGCCCACAGACACACCTACCAATGTCTACTGTCCACAGGTAGGGAGCTCCGCCCACAGACACACCTACCAATGTCTACTGTCCACAGGTAGGGAGCTCCGCCCACAGACACACCTACCAATGTCTACTGTCCACAGGTAGGGAGCTCCGCCCACAGACACACCTACCAATGTCTACTGTCCACAGGTAGGGAGCTCCGCCCACAGACACACCTACCAATGTCTACTGTCCACAGGTAGGGAGCTCCGCCCACAGACACACCTACCAATGTCTACTGTCCACAGGTAGGGAGCTCCGCCCACAGACACACCTACCAATGTCTACTGTCCACAGGTAGGGAGCTCCGCCCACAGACACACCTACCAATGTCTACTGTCCACAGGTAGGGAGCTCCGCCCACAGACACACCTACCAATGTCTACTGTCCACAGGTAGGGAGCTCCGCCCACAGACACACCTACCAATGTCTACTGTCCACAGGTAGGGAGCTCCGCCCACAGACACACCTACCAATGTCTACTGTCCACAGGTAGGGAGCTCCGCCCACAGACACACCTACCAATGTCTACTGTCCACAGGTAGGGAGCTCCGCCCACAGACACACCTACCAATGTCTACTGTCCACAGGTAGGGAGCTCCGCCCACAGACACACCTACCAATGTCTACTGTCCAAGAGGGGGAGGTCTTGAGGGCCCCTGAACTTGTTGGATGTTTCATATGACCGATGAATGAACCATTAGATGCATTGTGGCCCCTTGTGTCACATTCGGGGCCCCTGTGTATGTGATGGTAGGAGAGGGCGCCGGCCGGGTTACATTGGCGCACATCGGCGACCCGGCTCCGGTCTCATTCCCGCCCTGAGACTCTCTTCTCCTCGCCCCGCAGGCCGCCGCATACAGAAGCCGGAGATCCTGAGCAGACTAGAAGATGGCGGAGAGCCGTGGAAAAAAGCCGTCCACGCCAAAGCTCCGAGGGGACCCGCCCGGTCCGCGGCGGAGGGAACTCCCGCCGATGATCCTCCCTTCGCCTGCGCTCACTGCGGGAAGTCCTTCAGGCACCGCGCGTCCTTCGTCCGGCACCGACGGGCGCACTCCGGGCAGAGGTCCTTCCAGTGCCCGCTGTGCGAGAAGGCCTTCATCCAGAACTCCGACCTGAAGAAGCACACGTGGACCCACTCCGGGGAGCGGCCTTTCCGGTGCCAGGAGTGCCGCAGGGGCTTCGTTCAGAGGTCCGATCTGGTGAAACACCAACGGACGCACACGGGGGAACGCCCCTACCTGTGCGCGGTCTGCCAGAAGACGTTTGCCGAGCGGTCGGCTCTGTCCAAGCACCAGAAGATCCACAGCCAAGACAAACCGCACCAGTGCACCGAGTGCGGGAAAGGTTTCATTCAGAGGTCGAATCTCGCATTGCATCTGAGGAGCCACACGGGGGAGCGGGCGTTTGCGTGCCCTCGGTGCGGCCGGCGCTTCGTACAGAAGTCGGATCTTCGGAAACACCAGAGAGTCCACGTTGGACAGGAGATGGGCTCGGCGGGTGGCGCGCCTCTCGCCATTTCCTACGAATGTGTGGAGTGCGGTCAGGCCTTCAGCCGGCTGGCGGGGTTCTTAAAGCACAAAAAGCTGCACGGCGACGGGCAGCTCTTTCGGTGCCCGGACTGCGGCGTCGGCTTCCTCCAGAAGTCCACGTTGTTGAGGCATCGCCGGAGCCGCCACGCCGAGAGGCTCCACCGTTGTGCGCTGTGCCAGAAGAGTTTCCCGCAGAGAAGCGACCTCCAGAAACACCGGAGGACCCACGAGGGTCAGGGGCCGTACCCATGCCGGCACTGTGCCGAGACCTTCGCGGAGAGGCCCGCTCTGATTCGACACCTCCGATGCCACGCGGGGGAAAAGGCGCACCGGTGCGACGTCTGCGAGAGAGCCTTCGTCCATCGGTCTTCCCTGAACAAGCACATGAGGAACCACCTGGTGCAAAAGCCTTATTCCTGCGACCAGTGCCGGAAAAGCTTCATCCAGAACTCCGACTTGGTCAAACACCAGAGAATTCACAGCGGCGAGAAACCTTACCACTGCCCCGAATGCGACAAGAGGTTCACGGAAGGCTCGTCGCTGGCCAAGCACCGCAGGACGCACGCCGGGCGGGGGCCGTACCCTTGTCCGCATTGCAAGAGGACCTTCAAGCAAAGTCTGGATTTGGCCAAGCACGCGGAGATCCATTCCGCCGACACCCCGCCTGCCGCTACCGCCTTCCACGAGATCGTCCTCCCGGACCCGGCTGACCCAAACAGCACCGGGCAGAAGAGCTACCGGTGCCCAGAATGCGCCAAAACGTTCCCCCACCATACCGGCCTTCACGAGCATCTCCAAACCCACCAGGCGGAGAAGCCGCACTCGTGCGACCAATGTCCTAAAAGCTTTTCCCACACCTCCGATTTGGTGAGACACCTTCGAACCCACGCGGGGGTCCGCCCGCATCAGTGTGTGGAGTGTAACAAGAGTTTCATCCAGAGGTCGGACCTGGTGAAGCACCAAAGGATCCACTCCGGTGAAAGGCCTTTCCAGTGTCCCGAATGTTACAAGAGCTTCACCGAGGCCTCCACGCTGGCCAAACACCGGAGGATTCACGGCAGAGTTCAGTCCTACTTGTGCAGCGAGTGTGGGAAAGGCTTCAGCTGCAGCTCCAACCTTCACAGGCACCTGAAGTGGCACATTGACAAGAAGCAGCGGCAGCAGCAGCCGCCTTCTGATACCCTGGAAGAGATTTCCATCATCACCGTCGGCCACGATGAAAAGGTCGGAGAAGAAGCTCCGCCGCTGCCCATGAAGAACAAAGCGGACGTTGGCAGAGAGCGGCTGTTCCCGTGCAGTGAGTGCGGGAAAAGCTTCGGCCACCGGTCGGTCCTCGTTAAACATATGCGGATTCACACGGGGGAACGTCCGTATGTGTGCAACGTGTGCGAGAGGGGCTTCATCCAGAAGTCGGATCTGGTCAAACATTACCGCACGCACACGGGAGAGCGGCCCTACAGCTGCGGTGTCTGCGGCCGAACCTTCATCGAAAAGTCCAGTTTGGCTAAGCACCGGCAGAAGCACCTCGGACCTCCCGGGGCTGACCCGAGGGGAAACGTTCCCCCTGCTCCCTCAAACCAGCAAGTCATGTATTGGGGAGAGGCCGAGGATGACCCTGGGAGTTTAGTACCAAAGTTCCACATAATTACACAGGAAGAAGGTTTCGGGGTCACCGGGCCCTTCAGCGCCGGCAGCGGTTCGAAGAACGTCCTCCCGTCTCCGGCAAGACGCAAGGCGGCGGTCGCGGAGGCGAAGGTCCACGCCTGCCCTCAGTGCGAGCAGACGTTCGCCGACGGCTCCGCTTTCCGGGTGCACCGGGCGACGCACAGGGCGCAGCAGCCTCACACTTGCACCGTGTGCGGCAAGGTGGTCAGTCAGCGGTCGGCGCTGGTCAAGCACATGCGGTCGCACACCGGCGAGAAGCCGTACCGCTGCCCCACCTGCCAGAAGGGATTCATCCAGAACTCGGACCTGGCCAAGCACCTCCGGACCCACACCGGGGAGAAGCCGTACAAGTGCGACTCCTGCGACAAGCGGTTCGTCGATCGCTCGGCGATGGTCAAGCACTCGAGGACGCACAGCGGGGAGCGGCCCTACAGGTGCGAGGAGTGCGCCAAGGGGTTCGTGCAGAAGTCGGACTTGGCGAAGCACTTGAGGACGCACACGGGGGAGTCCCCCTATTCCTGCCGCTCGTGCGGGAAGGCGTTCCGGTCGCGCTCCGCTTCCCTCAGGCACCAGCGCCTGTGCAACATGGCCGCCGAGCAGGACAGCCCCCTGCTCTATTCTTCGGAGGCGTCCTACGTGGACTGTCCTGCTATGGACGCCCTGGAGGAGCATCGGCTCTAATAAGGAGTGCAGGCCTTGTGCCGAAACACCGACGGAAGCTGCTGACCAGAGTGATGGGGTGGAGGGCGGTGAGATGTCACAGCACAAGTCACCCCTCCCCCTCCACCCTGAGGAGCAGAAGAGGAAATGTTTGGAGGAATTTCCATCTGTCCGGGTCCCTCGAGTAGTAGAAGACATTTCACTGCCCATCCAAAGGTTGGAAGAACCGTGAAGGATCTTTGAGTCATGGCGTCCCCGTGTGGCCCCCCCCCGCAATACACAGAAGATGGTACAGCCGAGAGACCCAACACACGAGTGAAGGAACTTGGTCTGGGCCGAGCAGTGTACTGAGGAATACAAAGACCTGAACATTGGGGAGAGTTAAGGACTCCCCAAAATTCTGACACCTGAAAGTGGCCCCTTCAGAACATGAATAAACCGGCTTAGACGTGCGGGTCCACTTACCTGTCCAGTGTAACGCTTGTTGCTGCCGCTTCGATGCTCCGCGGCTGCTGTAAGCATTCGGCTGGTTGGAGTTCCTCCTGCCATCTTGTACGAGCCAGAGGAGGAGGAAGCTGGGGATGCGCCGATACCGAGTACTCGTCCAAATGCTTCCCCGATACCAGAACTTCCGGTCACAGGGAGATTTCCTCTGATTGGCAGTGCCGCGAGGGAAGAAGGAGCCGGCTTCCCGGCCAATCAGGATAAGGACTCGCCACCCGGCTTCCTGATCCATGCAGTTTGGCCGGATCGCTACTGATTGGCCAGGATGCCTGCTTCCTAGCCCGTCGGCACAGAGCTGGCCGAAGAGCAGTATGGAGCAAGCTTCCCAGCCAATCGGCATGGAGCCGGCTTCCCGGCCCCATCAGAAAGCCGAGGGCGGCTAATAACCCACCTTCCGGATTCCTGATTGACTGGGAAGCCGGCTCCATGCTGATCGGCCGAGAGGCCCGCTTCCCAGCCAATCACCATCGAGCCGGCCAAACAGCATGGTTCTGGCTTACTGGGCAATCAAGAAGCTGGTTGCGGCAGGTAATGACTCGCCACCCAGCTTTGTGATTGGCCGGGAAGCCGGCTTCATAAGTTTTGGCTGGCTTCCCAGCCAATCAGAATGGCGCCGGCTCCCTGGCCAATCAGGAAGCTGGGAGGTGGGTCATTACCCTCCACCCGGCTTCCTGAATGGAGCTGGCCAAACAGCATGGAGTCGGCTTCCCCGGGCCAATCAAGAAGCCGGGCGGTGGATAATGACAAGCCGCTCGGCTTCCTGATGATTGGCTGGGAAGCCGGCGCCATGACAGCGGAAGTGCCGATATCGGCAAGAACCAAAAGATAAGCATCGGCACTATTACTCGATAGCGAAAGAACCGGTATCGGCGCATCCCTGGAGGAAGCCACAGCGCGTGGTGAGGGAGAAGGTCCATCACACCCGCGTGGGATACTTACAGCTGCCGGGGAGCAAAAAAAGAAGCCGAGACCTTTCAACGAACCGCCCACCGGAGAGGTCCGGCTCCTCGCACTTCTATGAGCAGGTTTTATGTACAAAGGATCGTGTTGATGGGGTGAGGGGCCACTTTAAGGAAAAGGGTTTTCGGGGATAGTGGGGGCCAGTGTGAAGAACAGTGATGGGCGGGTACGGGCGTCCCTCTGGACGGCCTTCACGGCACATCTTGGCAAGAGAGCCCAAGCTTCCAGCAAAGTTGGAGACCACCCAACAACCGGACCATTGGTTGCCAGGAAGCGAGCCGGCATGATGTCATCCGTTACTAAAGACGCCGTCGGCGGTCCCAGTTTAGGGCCTATGGCGATGGATGATGTCATCGGTTGCTAAGACTTTAGGGGGCCTTCCAGGGAAATGGGACGCCCGCAACCTGTAATACATTTCTGCGGATCCATTTTGCCGCGGCAGCCCCCCGGCTGAGAATCGCCGATCTATAGTAACGGAGCTCACCGGGTGATACCGGGAGAATTCGATGGGTTTGAACTGGAACGAGAGAACACAATTGTATTAAAAATTCACCGGTTACCGGTTGTGGAACAATGGATGTAAACATTTTTGACAAATTCCACGTTGAGATCTACAGACGTGTTTCTGCCGATGTAATAAATCGGCTCCAAAT